TGGCCAACCGTATTCAAGTCTTGGACCTAGTGACTTGCTTTCTTGTTTTTCCTTTCTCCTCTCTCTTTCACTGTCTTTCTCTGTTCATATTAAAAAATAGTAATAACAAATGAAATTAAATAAGTAGTTCTTTTTTTTTTGGAGAGGTTTTCGCTATAGGGCGCGTGAGCTCGCCAGACAGACAGAGACATAGAGACAGAAAGCGAGAAATCACCCCCCAGGGGGATGGTCATGCTGCAATCCCTTCTCCTCCATTCTCCTCTCGGGATCTTGGGCACGCACGCACACGCGCCCGGCGTGAGATTTAAGCCACCGGGTCCAAGACGTGAACCGTGGTCGACTACGTGGGAGTCCAGCAACATAGCCATTACGCTAACTGCTGGTTCCCAATAAGTAGTTCTTTTTTAAAAAAAAGAATTTAGCAGTGATTTTTGAGGAATGACATTTTATTGGGGAATTGTGCAATTTTCTTCCCTTTTTTTTTTTTTTTTTTTAATTTTAGTGGTAATTTTAGTGGAGGGCTCATGTACTTATGTGAGAGAGAGAGAGAACCCAACAGTGGGGTATGGTCACACAGTAGTCCTTTCTACTACATTTATCCATGTTTTCGAGATTTGGAGCATGTATGCACACATACCCAGCTTGTTTTTCAAGCCACCCACCAGGGCCAAGAGTCAAACCACATGGTTGCCCATGTGGGATCCAGTTTCCTTACCACCAAGCCACTGGATTGGCCCAGAATTATGTAACTTTTAGACATTTATTATTCTTAGAGCTAATAGCAAATATTATTGCTCTTGAATGCTTTTTCCTTTTTATTTGTTTATTTCTTGAAAGTAAGAGAGACAGGCAGAGAGAGAGGCCCCCTCCACAGTGTCCACACTACAATCCTTCCCCAGCTTTCCCCGCCAGCCAGGGTCACAAGCACAAGGACACACCCAGTATATACAAGTCAGCTGGGAAACTGAACCTACCAATCTTCCATGTGGATCCAGCATTGCTGAGCTGTGCATTACCCTTGCACTACCACACCTGGCCCTTGAATGCTCTTCTGTTAAATGAAATACTGCTTGAATGAAGATTATAAGGGACAAAAAGTTTTAGATAGCAAAGTTTCTTATTTAAAGTTATTTCCCTCCTGTCATTCTTACTGTAGCAGGTTATCCTTGCAGAATAAGTTTCTAAAACATGAAGTAGAATCTTGAACATTTATGTTTTATTACTCTTAATACTATACATGCCTACATTCATGCTAATCCAGGTTCAAATTGGTCTCCACTCTCTACTGCTACCTCTTTTAAGCTGAAATACTGCCATATTTTTGACCTAGCAGTAATTGTCCTATAAAGTTTTTCCTGGAAGGATACATGGGATTATTCCAAAGCATTATTTCTTACACTGACAGACTGTTATTAAAAATATTGGGAAAAATAAGTTTAAATAATGCTGTGTGAAATAGGTTTCTATATTGTGAGAAATCTTGAACCTTCCATTAACTATGCTTACATTTATTATACAGAGCTAAGGGAAATACGTAATGTTTTCCAAATTATCCAACTGTGGAACTTACCTCACCACCATTTGTTTGTTTGTTTTAAACAAACAAGTACATGAGCCCTCCACTAAAATTAAAATGAAAAAAAAAAAAGGGAAGAAAATTGCACAATTCCCCAATAAAATGTCATTCCTCAAAAATCACTGCTAAATTCTTTTTTTTAAAAAAGAACTACTTATTGGGAACCAGCAGTTAAACCCATGAATTTTATGCCCTGGAATAGAATTTCGAAGAATACAACTAGTGCTGCCCTGTGCGAAATATTAAATGTGCTTATGCTGAAACTTCATCTATTCTCGTATCCATGGAAACTTTCTGAGCAGCAGTGACAGTGTTTAGAAGTCAGTTATAGTCATTTACTTATTCTACAAATACTGAATGAGCAGGAGTTGTATGTGAACTCCCAATTTAATATCAGGAAATGATTTATCAGGAAAGAGCAATGGATTTAGAATCAGGCTGCTAGGTTTCAGATCCTGGATCCCCTGCTTCCTAGCTAAATGACCATTTGACCATATGACCTTTGTAATTTCCCTAAGCCTTGCTTTCCTAATCTGTAAATTGGGTGTAATAATAATATCTGCCTCATCCGTTCACTTGATATTTTGCTACAGTTTACATATTTGGTACATTTAGTGAACTCTGAAATGTTAACTGCAATCACCATCGTAATGGAGGTTGAGGCAGTCCCTAGGTGCTACCACTTATAAATCTTTCTCCATTCTTCGCTATTAGACTGAGCTTCTTAAAGGCAGGATCCATCTCTTTTTACCTTTCTGTCACTAGCTGAGTTCCTGGCGTAGAGTACAGCACAGTATTTCCAAGCCAGTCTGCAAACGAGCTCTTCTGGCTTTGGTGCATTTTATACTCATGTGAATAACCTCTTTGATCTTCTTAACTGTAGGAATCTTGAAGTACGTCATAATTCCTACCTCTGACATGCCAACAAGACATCTGAAATTTTAAAACTTTCCGTCTTTGCCTTACTATCTACTTAATTTCTGAGTGAGATTCTTTTTCTTTGTATCTGAATAATAGAAACTGAGAAGAATCTTAAAACTATCATAGACCCCCCCATCAGTATTTTTGCATTATTGTAATCAGTTATCGTTAGCACATTGATTTTTTTTTGCTGCCTTTTCTAATATACATATTAGCACTATAAAGCATGGCTTTACCTTATTCCGTAGGTTTTTATATATAGCATTTTAATTTTAGTTTTGTTTAAATATTTTCTTCTTTCTAATATGACTGCATTGGAAATTTTTCTCTGTATATATATTGAATTACTAAACTGAACAAAATATAGCCAGTGAGTTGTATGACTTTTATATTTTTAAAGTGTTGTTTTAAAAAGACAAAAGTGTACAGTAGACACTGTGGATGGTCTGCAAAGTCTAAAGTATATACTCTGGCTCTTTATAGAAATTTTTTGCCAATCCCTGGTATATAATAAACTCAGTTATTTTAGCTCAGTTATTTGAATGTTCTCCCTTGGTTTCTAGACTTCATTTCTCTTAGTTTTCATCAGTGCTTTCTTGTTTCCTTATATAGGTCTGGTTTTATTTGAATGGTAGGTATTCTGTATGCAAATTTTTAAAAATAATTTAAGGACTGGGTTTTTTTTCCTACAGTAAGTATTTGTGTTTGCTTCCAACAGTCAAATGGAAGTTCTAGCACTCCTGCATAACCTTAATTCATTATCTGTCAATGAGATAATTCTAAAATCAGCATTAGTTTACTTTTGGGTCACACTCCTAAAATGTCATTTACTCTCCAGGTTCCCAGTCCAATGATGGCCTTTCAGCCAGTGGTGATCAGAAGTCCTCTCAGCCTATTGGCTTTCTATTTAGAAATCAGAAAATTTTCTTAGGAGAAAAGCAACCTCTAAGACCAGATACTCTGTGTTCATTTTCCAGATGTTCTATTTGTCTTGGTTATCACATTCTTATGAATTTACCTAACCCCCCAAAATCAGAAGGGAAAGATTGTGATATAGTGTTTTGGATCGTAATTTTTATAATTGCAGTAATTTTAGAGTATATGTAACTTACACTGTGTGTGTCTTTAACTTCTGGTCTCCAATAGCAAGTTTCAGAGAAATTACTTAGAAAATTGTATAACCGTACCCCCTGTGTAAAACTTTTAAGTAGAGTGGAGTATAGGGATTCGTTTCTTGTCTTAAATCCCGTAGCATTTTTTGGTGAGAGAGGTTGTTTTAAGATATAAAATAGATTGTACAACCTGGATTCCTGATGAGAGTGTGACCACATTAAAGTTGAAGCAGTAGTCCTTCCTTCTTGTTTCTTATATCCTTGTACCCAGCATGGATATGCATTGTTGTTTGGTTACTAATAAATTTTTTAATATCTAAATATAAACTAATACAGTATTAAGTGTAAAAATGCTTACAGAATTTTGGGAATATTGAATGTAGTCAGTTCATTGCTTCTTTTTGCTCTTACTATTAGGTATTACACTTTAATTCAAGATACTGCTATTTTATTCTGGTATGAGCCACTGTTTTGTATTAGCGATGTGCTTGAGTAGACACATATGTGTAGATGCATACATGCTTTAGTAGAATTCCTGTCCTTTGCAGTGGATACAGTTGGTCTTTTTATTTGAGGACAAAGAAGGGTCATGTTTTTCCTCCAAAATACCATGAGTTATGGCAATCTTTCCTGAAAAGTATTCTATGGGATTACCACTGTAGAATTGCCTAATTGTTTCAGAGTACCATTTGATTCTTATCATTTTAAAAGATTTTTGCGAAGGATGAAGAATTGAGCTTAGAAATGAGATTGTATTATAATGTACTTAGAATAGAATGTTTTATATTCTGGGTTACAGAAATTACAATGTGTTAAAAATTTAATGCCCTTTTTTTTTTTTTTTTTTTTTTTTTTTTAATTACCAGAGGTGGTAGAGAAATAGAAAGCAACCTCCCACCCCCATACAGTGGGACATGGTTATGCCACAATCCCTTTTTTCCTTTTCTCCATCCCAGGAAGATTTTGAGTGCACACACAGCTGGTGTGTTTCTTAAGCCACTGTGGCTGGGTTTCAAACCACAGGTAGCCATGAGATCTGGCTTCCTACATATAGCACATAACCACTGTGCTGTGGGGCTGGCCCTCAAGAACTCATAATGGTAAAACCTGGGGTTTAGGTGGTGGCAGAGAAGTAAAATGGCAGCCCTGTACTAGGTAATCCCACGTAAGAGTCTTCCTGGTTCACATCCAAGATCTTCTTGAGTATGCTGGACATACATTGCCCATGATTTGGAGCTGGCAGAAGGCTGGAGATAGATTATGGCATCAAGACCCTGTTGGGATGCACACACACTATTTCTCTGTCTCTCTCGTTCATAGAAGAAATAAATAAACTTGAAAGAAGATACAATCTGACATTTGGAATAACTTAAATTAATTTTCTTCTTTAGCTTCCAGCTGATCTTACCAAGATGCACCTTACAGACAACCCTCATCCACAAGTGACTCATGTGTCTTCTAGTCAGTCTGGTTGTAGCATTGCCAGTGACTCCGGGAGCAGCAGTTTGTCTGATATCTATCAGGTAGTACCTTAGAGTTTTTGTGCTGTACTTATGGCTTTTTATTCTGCCAAGTATTTTGTTTTTGTGCCCTCTCTAGTCACGTTATCTTTTATACAGTATGAAATTCAAGCATAAGATCTTTGGGTAATACATTTTATATACTGTTTGAAATTTGGAAGCTTAATTAACAAAGTGATATATTTTTAGATGAATTGAGTATGGTTCAATACTCTAAGGATATAATGTTCTCTTTTATTTCCTTTACCCAGGTGAATCCATATTAATATATAATGCTTGCTTTGGTTAAAAAACAAAAATTTCATAAAATAATTGAATTTAAATATATTCAATATTGAAAAGCTGTTTTTTTATTATAATTCACTAGATCTTTATGAGTATAAATCACAGGAAAAAACTAGAGTTGCTTTTGTATTGTAAAGCTTATATTGTTCTATTAACACATGGATGAAGTTGCAAATTAAATAGTATATTTATGGACTTCTCCATTTTTAAAACCCCAGTAGAAACAACTGTAAACCTACTGAGCTTTTCACTGACCTTGTGATCAGGAGAGAAGGTTCTGAGAAGACCCATAAAGTGAGAATCCTCACTCAGCCCTATTAGATTGAATCCAAGTTAAGATCAGGCCAGTGCAGTGTTTCAGGATCTTGATAGTGAAACTACTTTTTTTTTTTTTTTTTTTGAGAGGTTTTCGTTATAAGGCGTGTGCACTCACCAGACAGAGAGAGACAGAGAAACAGAAAGCGAGAAATCACCCCCCAGGGGGGATGGTCACACTGCAATCCCTTCTCCATTCTCCTCTCGGGATCTTGGGCATGCACGCACACGCACCCAGCGTGAGTTTTAAGCCACCGGGTCCGGGACGCAAACTGCGGTCGACTACGTGGGAGTCCAGCAACATAGCCATTACGCTAACTGCTGGTTCCCGATAGTGGAACTTCTATGATGTCTCCTTTAGCATAAGGTGTGTGAGGCAGTTCCCTTGGTATGGTGCACTTTTTTTTCCCTTCAAAAAACATTGGGGGGCTGTTAGGTAGTACAGAGGTTAGAGTCTAGATCCCACATAGCCAGCTAAGCAATTTGAGTCCCAGACTGGCGATTTAAAAAGTCACACCGGGCATGTCTGTGTGCATTGCCAAAACCCTGATGGGAGAATGGAGAAGGGCTTGTGGCATGGCCATCCCCCCGGAAGGTGATTTGTGTTCTCTCTCTGGCAAGTACACCTACCCTATAGCAAAACTACCCCCAAAAATGTTTAAAAAATAAATAATTTTATAGCAGTTCTTTTTTTTAATTTTTAAAAAACAATTTTATTGTAATTCTTTTTCTTTTTTTAATTTCTGATAACTTATTTATGTTTAATTGTATATTTTTTTCCGGTACAATTTGGATTTTCCAAAGCTGTGATACTTTATGTCATTGACCCCAGTAGTTAATTTTGTTAGAGACCATGGGTATAGAACATAAAATACTTTGTTGTTGTTGTTGTTGTTGTTGTTGTTGCCACTAATTACATGTGCAAGACAGACAGACCTAGGGAGGGAAGAAGCACCTCCTAATGGAGCATGGTATTCTGCAATTTCTTCTCCTCTTGTCCTTCCTTTGGGGATTTGGGACACACACACACATGAGTCCAGCATGTTTTTCAAGCTATTAGGGACAGGATTCTAACTACATTCAGCCGTTAGGACCTGGTTCCCTCCCTTAAACACTAGGCCTGGCCCCATGCCTAAATGACTAGAGAATACATGAGATTGAGAGTTGGTTTGTTCAGGCAGTTAAATGTACTGTCTATTCCAGGGCTATCTAAGAGAAATTTAGCGTGAACTACGTAATTTCCTTAGTATCTGGGTTTTTTTTTTTTTTTAAGTAAATTCAAACTGATAAAATTAATTTTAGTACTATATTGCATCATTTGGAAAAGTCATAACATACTTTTCTATGTTTTTCTATGTAAAAATATGTCACAATTTTTCCAGTGACCCAATATTTTATTTGGAACATTATTTCCAAACATTGTAATTTCAACATGTGATCAGTGTTTTAACATTATGAATGAGTTACTTTGCCTTCTTATATTAAGTCTTTAAAAGACAAGGTTTAATTTTATAGCACATCTCAATTCATTCCAGTAGCCTGTATGACTAGTCTGTGTCACAGAACCATTGTTACTTGGGGGAACCATTTTAGCCTGTCATTCTACTGAGGTACCCAGACAGATATTTGAGAAAATCAGCCTTCCTCTATGAAGGGAAGTTTGTAAGCAGATACAATATGAACAAAAGATAGCTTCCATTTTTTGGTTTTATGTGTGGCTTTTATCAACACAAATCATTGTTGTGGCCATCTTATAAAGGATCTTCTAAAAGTTTGTGGAAGATGCATATTATAAGAAAGCTTATTCATAGATTTTTTAAAATGTTTTGCATAAAATAAATTCATACTTTAATTCTATTTTTCCATGAATTGTTTGAAGCCCCTTATATATCTCCTTATTTGCCATTTTATAGTAGACAAAATTGGGATTTTTTTTTTTTTAAGAAAGTTAATAATGCACTGGCTCTTTTTTTTTAAAAGAGAATTATCTGTTCAACTTTATTTATTATTATTTCTAAAATTTGACCAGAGAGAAACAAAGAGGGAGAAAGTGAGAAAGCAAGCCACCAGCTTCAAGACTTGAACTGTGGTGAGCCATGTGGAAGTCCAGCACCTTAACCACCATGCCACCTGCTGGTCCCAAATAATGCACTGGCTCTTAAGCCACTTACTGTGTTCATGTAGCATTCTGCTCCTCCCCAAAAGAGGACTCACAGCTAAAAATCAGAGTAGAACTGTGACTTCTCTGGACTTTTTTTTCCTGGAAAAGAACCTTGAGGGAGCTTGACCTCAATGATCAGTAAAGTTCAGGAATGTGTCTATACTGTTCCTTCAGGATAAGTGGGGATTTCTGGACCTTCCTAGAAGAAAAACTGTACATGGGTAGTGTACATTTGACACGTGTTGAGAAACTATTGGAACCTGGTCTTGCTGGGATGTTTCATTTCTAAGCCATATCGATCACTTTTTGGGAATAAGGAGCAGAGCGCTGGATAATTGGAAGAAGAGGGACACTGGGGAAGACCAGTGCTTCACTCTGAACTAGATGGTGGCCTGCACACAGTTTTAGATCTTTAAAAAGATGCTGGGGGAGTTTCTGAAGAGCTATACTGATATGAGCAACTACAGGTTACCCAACTGCTGGCTGTCCCTCCTGAGACTGGAGCGGGAGTATATTGACTGGTGCTGGTTGGAGGTCTTCTATAGCAGGACCATAGCCTTATATGACTCTCCTGTTTCCAACCTTCAGTATGTCTTCCTTAGTAGCATTCTCTACAACTCATTCTATCTTACAAGAAACTTGTTTTAAGATTGGACAGACCATGGACAAGTATCACGGCCAGCTATCCTGTGTATTATATTATTTTGGGTTTTAATACCTGAGAAGCCTGAAAGCTGCCAATGGCTCTCCTCCCTCAGTGATCACATTCAGCACTAAGTCAATTAATTGTATGTGTGTGTGTGTGTTCCATGTTAACTGATAAGTAAAGTAATTTATATATAATAAAATGTATCCTCTTCAGTATAGCCTACCTTAAGATAATAGAACATTTCCATCACCTCAGGAAAAAACCCTTATGCTTTTCTGCACTCTGTCTCCTCTCCAGACCCCGGTCCCTTGGCAACCGCCAGTCTGTTTTTTGCCTATAGGGATTTGCATTTTCTAATTACATAGTTTTTTGTTTTTAAGAGGTTTTGCGTGCACTCACCAGAAAGACAGAGAGAGACAGAGAAACAGAAAGTGAGAAATCACCCCCCACAAGGGATGACCGTGCCGCAATCCCTTCTCCTCCATTCTCCTCTTGGGATCTTGGGCATGCACGCACACGCGCCCAGCATGAGTTTAAGCCACCGGGTCCAGGACTCGAACCACAGTTGACTACATGGGAGTCCAGCAACATAGCCATTACGCCAACTGCTGGTCCCAATTTTTGTGTTTTTTTTTTTTTTTTTAAAGATGTTGCAGTGCACTTATAAATTAGCCAGGGATATACAAGTGAGTGTTAGGGACCAGCAGATGGTGTAATTGGTATGTAACTGGACTCCCACATAGTCGACCACAGTTCGAGTCCCAGACCTGGCAGCTTAAAACTCACGCCAGGCTTGTGTGCGTGCATGCCTAAGATCCAGAGAGGACAATGGAGGAAAAGGGATTGCATCATGGCCATCCCCTCTGTGGGGAGATGGGATGTCACACTTTCTATCTCTCTATCTCTATCTCTCCAGCGAGTGTACGCACCCTGTAGCAAAAATCTCTCTTAGGAAAAAAGGTGAGTTTTAATAAATTTAGGAAGAGTGGACAATTAAAAGGAACAAAAATACTAAGATTATAGAACCAAAACAGGAACTCTGAGACTTAAAAGAGAAAATTGTGCTAATACTTCAGTCAGATATGCAAAAATGTAAGAAAAATTTTAAGAGTAGCCAAGGGAGATAAAAATTCTCAAATTTGGACTTCTGGTTAACTTTAAGACAATAGCCAAAAGATAGAAACAACACAGATTTTAAAACAAAAACCAGCCAACAAAGATAAAAACGAGGTAAAAAAAACCTCAGTCTAAAAATAAATATATACGCATACATTTGTATACATAGAATATAAATCTGAATTTAAGAATACCAGTTGGTAATAGTGTTTTTCTACTGGCAGTAGATTTGTGGGTAGTTTTTATTAAATTTTATAAACTAGCATTGTTATTTCTATATTTAACAGTCTTAATGAAGATGTACATGCAATGTATAGTTAAAAATGAAACTTGAAACAAACTGTGGAAAAATATTAAAGGAGTAATTACTACAGATTAAAGGACTAAACATCACCATCATCATCATCATAACAGATTGTTAAAATATACCCTCCCAAAAGTGAGATTTGGAGATCTGTCTTTTAAAAAATTTCATAG